GGCCAATTGTATTAAAGATGTGACGACAAGAATTTATCACAATATTAAATATTTAATTGACATATATTTAATCACTAAATTGCATAAATATCAGTCCCAGTATCTTTTATACGTGTACATATATGTAGATATATATATATATATATATATACAAAAAGTTAATGTTACAAATTAAACCACATCACCAAACAATATTAATTATCTATACAGTACTGCATGCTATGTTACTTTCATTAATTTAAACATTATATATATATATATATACATTCTAAGTAATATATAATTAATTTATTAATATACAATTATATATTATTCTTTGTTTTTTAATTTACGTACTTAAATTATGTATTTAAGCAATATGATTCAATTCAATATTCCCCAAAAAAATTAATATGGTTTAATTGATATAAACATATTAATGTAATATAATTAATTTAATTAGCATATGTATATATATAAATATTATTTTTAATTATCCCATATTTTAATTTCCATTTCTTTTAAATATTTTAAACATTTATTGCTAATATATTTTATACGACAATAATAGCATAAAATTTGAACTATTAATAAACATAATTTATTTTAAAATTTTGAAAACAATATATATATATATATAGTGTACAACTCAAAATCCAGATTTTGAACCCACTTAATATTACAAATAGGAATTATTTAAAAAAAAAAAAAGTGGGCCCTACAAGTGGCTTGGCAATTTGCGTCAGTGTGAGTTCCATTCATATCTAATATTTTTCTATTAGGATATTTTCTGTCATTACGTCTTAAGGATTCTCAATTGAAATATTGTGCACTTCCAGTATATTTATTTAAATTAAAACGTGAATAATTGTTTTCGTATATAATTAACAGGTTCTTAATATTGTATAATATATAATTTTATTTGTAACAAAACTATTCGTAACTCCAAATAATGTATTTTTTGCTCAACTGTCTTTTCAGCCGTGGGATTCTCGTTAAGAGAGCCGACCGATTCCCTCTCATTCATTCCTGGCTTGCCTGCTCTCTCGGAGATATTTTTCTATTCCTTCTGATTTGTAAAGGAATAATTTATTGCATTATTTAGACCAACAAATTTCTCTAGACATGACAATCTCATATTCACATTTTTCACTCGTTACACTTGGTTAACTTATTACCACCACGAGATCTATTTCGCTTCAAGTTTCGAATGACTTGAGATCTTTAATCCCAATCCAGTGACTCAGAAATCATCTATAGATCAAATGAGGATAACAATTGGTAATTTCGAACCCGATGTAAAACACAGATTTAGCACCACATCACAAATTATATTAAGAAAAAAAGGACTTGCATAAGCACCACTACCCATTTGATGGTATTCAAGCATTTGATCAATTGG